CATTCTGAAACATAATTCAGACCTCTTACCTACTAGATAGGTCAGCTTTGCCAAGAGTATGACCTGATTCCTTGGCTGCTGGCATACATGGTGCCTGTTTTTTCTATCTGGGCAAAGCCGTAGCACATGCTGGGGAGCAGTCATTTTTGTTTGACTCAACCATGATATGCACAACAGCCAAGGGCTCCTCACAGGCCCCAGCAGTGAGGCCAGCCGGGAGTGCAGTTCTGCTATTGTAGCCGGAGGCCTACTTCCAATCCAATTACACACAACAGCTGTGCTAGCTCCTCGTTTCCATCCCCTTTGCTTCCTCTGCTATGTAATTCCAGGATAGGTTTTGTCATTATTGGCGGCAGTGAGTCAGGGTGAGTGGCACCTACTCTGAGTGATCAAAGAATAAGAGCATGAGGTAGAAGCCAAAGAGAAAGTAGTTTACCCCAACATCTATGGGCAGAAATACTGACCAAATCACACCATCTGCTTTCCCTGACAGTAGAAACAGCATTCTGACACTGCACATGGCATATTCCTAGAAGTATTCACACAGGGATGGCTACAAACCTGGTGGTGTTTGAAGGCATGAAAATTAACTTTTTGCAAGTATTTGCAAAGATGGCTTCATGCACAAGAGAATATGTGCAAGGAGCAATATCTGAGGGCCAATACATTTTATGGCTTACCCATAAGATGATGTGTATCACAGCAAATCAGAGCACTTGATCAAGTATGTACATAAGTTGGGAAAAGAAGAACTGTTAGGCATGGAATAGAATCCTTCAGCTTGGAAAAGACATTTCCAACAATACATATGACAACAGGTAAAATCCCAAATCATACAGAACACATGAACATGGGAAATCTTTTTTCCCCTGTCAGAAAAAAAAGAAATAGGAGTCACTGAATGAAATACTCAAGTAACAGGTGTAAAAACAAGTGTAAGAAAGTGCTTTCCACATTTGAATGATTAAACAATGGGATTTGTTATCACAGGATACAATGGAGTTAAAAAAAATATAAGTGGATTAATAAAACAAAGAAGGGACACTTCCAGAGAAAATATGCCAATCAATGACTGCACAAGTTCATTATCTGGATGAAGTATCAAGTCAGAAAGTCCTTAAACCCTGATCACCAGAAACCACAAATGTATATAAGGAGAAGATCAATACTAGTGTAGTTTCTCACACTTCTTTCAAAGCATCTACGTTCATAAAAAGACACTTCTGGGCTAGATTAATTCTGGCTCTGACCCGAGTCATCACTACTGCCATATTTTTGCAAACTGAGTACATAGAGATGAAAAGAATTCACATTTCAGGGAGTCTGATTTGGGGACAGTACCTGTGCAAAGGGCATTCAATAATTAAAACAATGGTGGCACCTGTGAAGAAGAACATAAATCTGTACAAACGGGTTTCAAACACCTGTGTGAGTAGCATGGGTGGATTATTACTATGACCTACTACCTTCTGCAAATAGGAAACTTAAGATGAGCTACAACACAATTCACACATTTTCATGCCCAAAAAGAAGAGTTCAGCTTCAAGAAAGCAAAAGCTAACGTCCAGGTGCTGCTTAAATGACCCTATGACACAGAGTTCTGGAGGCAGACCAACACAGCAACCCTGAGATGAAGAAGAGAAAGAAGCATTAAAAGATGAATTTTGAATATTAAAGACCTGGATTTAAGAAGTGCTAGTACATTTGTGCCTTCAAGGATCTCTGTACCCTTAGGAAGGAGTTGCTCAGGCAAACAAAGTCTAATTTTTCCTCAGGGGCCCAACTAACCAGGTCATTTCTACTAGGTTGTGTCCATTCAGTTACATGCAAATTCTAGTCAGCAATAACAACGTGACAGAAAATGCCCAGAACTTCATCTCTTAACCTCTTCTCCATTAACATCTGAAGATCTCTCCCACAAAGGATGAGTGGCATGAATAGGCAAAGCACTATTTAAACTCTGACAACACCAGTTATCAGTACCAGTCACCATAATATCAAGGACCCATATTTAGTTCTTACTTCTGGATATATTCTTCCACTAAAAAAAAATAAAATAAAAATGAGGCCAGAGCAAATCACTTGCTCCTTGATCTACTGTTTATTCCCCAACAATTTGTCTTTCAGAACCTAGACCACTGGCGAAGAGCAGAGGGTTCAAAGAAAGGGGTAAATACTGTGTAGAGTTGACAGAGCCATCCATTCTGGTGTGTGCCGCACACCGCTCCCCAGCCGATGCATTTAACCTCTGTAATAAGGCTCTTAACCTCTATAGTGTTCAGCCCAAAATCTCTAAGCATGTTGTGAAGGTGAGATGAAGCTGCAGCTATAAACCAAAAGGGAAAACTGAAGTACTGAAAAGAGAAGTTGTTCCTCCTCTACATGACACAGTGAGTCAGTCACCCAGCTGAGAACAGATAGCAACAGTCCCAACTCCAGGGCCCTGCTCTAAATGCTTGACTTTGATGTTTACAATGTGGTGGTGTTATTTTGTGACTACTCATATCATATTTGCAGGGCACCTGGGCTAACATCTGAAAAACTTCTTTCATTTGTGAAATAAGCCGGATAAGAGCTTCAGATGGCTCTGGAAAGGAGGGTAGCAGACCAGCCCCTGTAGCCAGAATACCCCTTCTTCATAATCAGACACCTTGCAGCCAGGAAAGGCTCAAGCTACACATTTTTGTTTACTATGAAGAAGACCAACCTCTTTGGACTTTGCAGGAACTGTGCCCAGCAGAGGTCTGTGGTTCCTACTGCTGCCAGCCACAGCCTATTCACAGCTACCTTCTCTTGCTGGGTAATTAGTTCTAACCTGTTAATTCAATAATCAAAAATATTCAGTTAATCAATGTGCTCTTTATAGCCCTTTTCCTGCCTGTGGGTATTTACCACTATCTCATAAAATTAATAATTTGTACTGCGAACAATGGACGGTTATAGTAACCGTTTTGACAGGGTCCTAGGGATCTGTCCTCATAATACAGCTACCTGGATGGCTGAGCAGGAACAAAGCCTCTGCACAGCCAGGCAGAGGGGAAGTGCACACCCATCCCTTCACATTGGTCCACACCACTGCCCAGTCATGCAGCAATGCCAGCATCCTCCCCAAGGGAAGGTGAGCAGAGGGACCAGACTGCCTAGAAGTAAAGAGTTACAGAGCCTAACAATGAGGTGTGGGTAATTATCAGCCTGAAAACATACAGATGAGTGCAAGAGGACATAGAAAAAAGCATTTACATGTGACTAGAAATCCATGTGAGAAAGCACAGAGCAGTCCTGAGAACAAGAACATATGTGTATAAGCAATGCAGAGGATAAAAATGAGCATCCAGGCATGTAAATAATGAGAATGAAAGGGCAGTGGGGCAGAAGAGCCCATTCAGAAGTAAGAAGGATGGACTCTTCCAGAGTGCCTACAGGAAGAGCAGTGTGGTCCTGTCCTGGTTGTGCCACCTCTGTTTGGGCCCCTATTTGTAACGCTGTCATCCCTTGCACACTGTGCAGGCCTTGGAGATGGCCCTGATGTTGATCAAGGTAACACTCATTAATGGCATAATATCATGAGTCCTACTGGTAGAGCATGGCAAGGCTATGCCTTCCCAATTCAACCACTCTCCTCTGCCACAGACACCAACAGCTTAATGATGTGATGGAGACACCTGTGACCCCAAGTAAGTGGTGTTTGTCCTGCCAGATCCTGCCAAGATTGGAGGAGACAGGAGTTCCTGGACACTTCAGACTGAAGCAGGGAAGATACATGTTCGGCCTCATGGGTTACTTAAAAGATTCAATGTTACAGTTGACAAAGCCTTTTTTTTTCCAAGGCATGCCAAGCAACATCTGCCATTTGGCCACTTCCATGCCTGTTATTGCCAGCTGAGGTGTAAACAGAATGCAAAGACCTCAGCAGAATAAGAAAGGGGCTGACCAGAGAAGCCAAAAGGCTAAACATGCAGGGAAATTACCCAAGCAGCTGGCCCTCATTGCATCTCTCTGAAGCATTTCACAAAATATGATTATCCAACTGCTGGAAAGAAGCAAACTGAACAGAAAACTCATTCCAGGTCAGGTTTAGCAAAGATACGTAGAAAGCTGAGAAGGAAAAGAGCCTCGACTTGCCTATCATCTCACTCCAGCCAGGGCAACACCAGCTGCTTCCCTGGGCTCATTTTCGTTTCACATAATGATAAACCCAGAGGAGTTGCCTGAGCATGAGGTAAAAAATTAATTTCTTAAGTCTCAGTGGCAACAGGACATGGACCACAGCTTAAGGTTATCTAGTTCTATTAACCCCTGGAGCTGAAGTTGAGGAACTTAGATCCTTTCAGCAACAAGAAAGAAATAGGAGGAGAGAGGTTTGGAGTTCTCTGTGGTAAAATACTTCCTTGTGGTACAAATCCCCCAATAAACAAGCATATAAAACACATTATTTTTTCCTTTTAAATGAATCATTTGTGCCCTGTCAGTAATTAACGTTTTGATACCTAAATAATATCACACATTCACATTCGGCCAGATAGATACTTACTGGTTTTTAAACACCAAAATAAAGCAACAACAAAAAAAACCCTTTTTAGTGGAAATGAAACTCAATAGGTTATCCGTGGGACTAGCAAATAGAGTAGACTGCACTAGAAGAATGGAAGTGACTGAACTAGATTTGTATGCTAGACTACACACAGAAATAAACTGTATATAATGCAATGTTCAATGTCAGGTAATCAGCAATACAAGCAACCATTTTTAATGTAATTTTGATTCATAAAACGTCCCTTTAACTGACCACCACAATATAATCTCTGAAGAGGGAAGTTTGTGATCTTTGCTACTATGAAGCCCTCCTTTTAGCAAGGACTTTGCAATCCAAACCCTGTGTTGTCCAACATGAAGATTTGTTCTGTACGGTCTGAGAAGCAGGATGACAATTCTGCCCCTGGTAACTGCCCACCACCACTCCTTAAAGAGCAGCTTTCCAGCTCAGCAAAAGCAACACTTACCTGGAATACGATTGACATCTGTTGAGGTGTTTTCATGGCAAGCAGAAAGCAGAAAAGGGAAAAAGAGAGAGAGAAGAAAGAAAAGCCATTAGAGATGCACACAGCAACTCAGCATCTTTGCATGGAAATCAATTTCATGCAAAACCAGAAGTAATTAGGTTTGTTTGAAGGCCACCCATCTGCAGCCAAGCACCCAGCCATGCAAGGGAGGAGGCACTGGCTCCCTCTCCGCTGTGCATGTAAAGGGAATCCACCATCATATCTGTCCGGAGAGAGTTCCTGGAATCAGATAGAACCAAGCCACGTCAGTTCCTATAAGAGTAGTAGTTACAATATTCTACTGTTTTTCACACAGAAATGCAAAAGAAAGAAACAAAATCTAACTTGCCTGCATCAGGCTTCTTCTGTTGCACATAAATTCAAGCAAGTTTTCAGAAAAAATAAAATAACCTGCTCCCCTTTTATGAGGGGCCATGTGAATTTATGACGAGGTGCAAGACACTCAACATAGACCCAAAGACTAGAAGAGAGCCCATTCCTTTTCATTCCTCCTGCCCGTCATTCCCAAAACAACATCCTTCATTGCAGACAGTAGCGGTGGGGAAGGAGTGCCTGAGGCTTGCACAACCCACATGTCTTTTCAGAAGATGCTGAATTCAGATGAAAAGTCATCCAATATTTTTTCTCTTTGTGACATAAGACCACTTTTCAGAATCAATCACATAAAACTCAGAATAAATTAGTCCATTAAAAAAAGAGAGGAGTAAAATGATGTAAGGTACAGTGCTGATCACAGAAAAGGCGTATCTTCAAATGCAGTGCCTGTTTCAGGAAGAGCCCACCAATCCCAGAGAATGCACTCTGAAAAAATAATGCTTCTCATAACTTTTTTAGCATCCCAAATTTAGTCTTGCTCTGAATAGGTACACTTATCCTAACACTATGATGGAGGAACTCCTGAAATCTTAAGGGATTAGATTAGATCTATATTTTCCTTCCAAGGCAGCCCTCCAAAGTAAAAAATGAACTGAACCAGGCCCATAGGTAGTGTTCCTGCCTGGAAGCTTATACCTTGCCCAGGAGCTCTGTTGCTGCAGGTATCGTCCTTCCAGTAGGACTTCAAAACAATACATTAATGCATTGGACTACTTCAGATCCTACACCACTTCTGTGACAGGTCTAGGAGCATGACATGCTGGGTGCTTTGACTACACACCAAGGTCTAAGAATACATTCACCTTCCCCAAATATCCCCTCCAATTTCCATCCATATTCCCCCTTCCTGTCCAAACTTGGCTGTGTTGATGTGAAACCAGTGCCACTTGTCTTCCTGAGACATTTGGATTTCAGTGGTGAGCAAGCGATTCCTGTGCATGTTTATTGTTCATAACTTTCTGTTGCATTTTATCTATCACTTTGTAATGACTCCAGAACCATTAAAGGAAAAGTCTCTGTGGTACACCACACATATACCAAGCCATTCTTCCCCAAGGAGGTAACAACCCAAATAAGACAATGCACAAAAAGGGAAGGGACTATTGCATCTACTCATTTAATTTCCATAGCTTCTACAACATATGTATGTCAGATCTAATAGGTGTTATTTGTTACCTTTCCTCTTCTAACACATAATTGAATCTAAGAACTGGTGTCTTGGCATGCGAGTCTGAAAGGACCCATAGTACTCAAAGTTTGCCTGAAACTGATTCTCTGCAGGTAGGAAAAGAAAACAAGCATCAGGTAGCAATGCACTGAGGATGGAACGGAAAAGGAAAACCGGGGCAAAAGGAAGGAGCAGGCCCTTAAACACCACTGCAGAATATGAGTACGATGCCAAAGAATTCTCAAGTCCACAGCTAGGACTTGAGATGTTGCTTCAAAAAAATCAGTGGCAGTCAGAGGAGATGATCGCACATTTCAGAACAGGAAGAAGGAAGCACCATAAGGTACTACAAATGTCTCTGATAATCCAGCAGCTGCCCCAAGGACTAGTTTAAGCAGATACAAAGCTCTAGACCCATGTTGTCCTCTGAGGCTCCCTGCATGCCTGACAAAGGAGCTGGCACAGCTGCAGTCAAGGCTACCTTGAGGGCCCAGGCAGCAGGCAGCCTTACCAGGCTATCTGTGCTCCAGGAGGAAATTCATGGGATGTTTAGGGAATAAAAAGGATCAGCAGATAGAAAGGGCAAAGAAAAGAGCTAACCAAGGGTGAGCCAGGGATAAACACATTAAGCAAATAAGAGAGGAGGCAGTGAGCTGTAACTGATACACTGCTTGAAATAATACTTATTTAACTGTGAGTGAATTAAACAGGTCATGAAGCTGTTAAAAAGGGGAACAATGAAGAGTTAAGAGGTACATGAGCATCTCTAAAAGGTAGTTTCTCAATGGCAAGTAACAGGAGGCAGACAGCAAAGGGATTTCTGTTTACCCCTATTTTTTGTTCTCATGTCCCTAAGAGCAGGCATCCCTGATCCTGATTGGTTTCACACTTACAACTTTTTGTTCTATCTTTCTTGGAAAGACTCCACTCAACACAATTTCTCTATATACTAGCTGCATCAGAAAAGTCACTATTTGCACCTCTGGGACACTTTTGCTGTGTTTACCTATGTGGCAGCCCAGGTCCCATACTAAATACAGGAGTTTCTTGTATTGCAGACACACCCCCATGTGGTATCTGCTGGCAAATGCCGATTAAAAACCGGTCAAAGTACCTATGTTTTTATTTTAAAATATTCGTGAGAAAGCACTGCTTTTTTTGTGAAGACAAAAATGACACACAGCCAGTCGGTCCTCGCAGTAGACCCTACACTAAATTCCACCGTGTCATATCCATGAGATTCCCTCGCAGGAAACCCCATAACACTGCTGCAATGTGACGTGCCACTCGGCTGTGGTGCACAATTAAAACTGTGGTTGCGTATGTTGACAAGAGAGACCCTTCATAAGAAAGCTCTGATGCAGCATCAGTACCTCATGGCTGGTGGCTCCACAATTAGAAGAAATCTAATGCCTCAGGAAAGACAGAAGATAGAGATAGCAACTAGGCAGACTGACCAGATTCGGGGACCTCAGTTGACTCTCCTTCATACCCTGTCATCTGAGACAGTCTCACAAATTCTTTAAATGTTTTTCTGGCTTGTTTTCAAAAGGACTGCTCAAAACATGTCTCTAATCTCTTCCTCTTCCATCAGTGCTACCTTCCTCCCCCCAGAGGGAACTCCTACCTGCCACAGGAACTGAGGAAGTACAGTGCTCCCTGACTGAACCAAGGAGCACAGAGAACCCATGGCTAACAAAAAGCCCAGTTACCATGGGACCTATTGGCGTGCAGACGGAGGTTTCTCCACTTTCTCTAGCTCAGAGTGCTCAGAGCACTTCAAACACAGAAAGGTCTGCCTCTTAACAAAAGAAAGGCAGAGTTTGCTTTATCCTGTACACAAGAGTCAATTTATTGCTCCTTTGTAAAGGGCTGAGCTGCAAATTGATGTTGTTTGGTTTTGTTCTTTCATGCTAATAGCTGGGTTGAATGAAGGATCAGCAGGGCTGCTGCCTTCGTCTGGTGCCACCCCATCCATCTGGGTGGGGTGGAAAGGGAAGGAGGAGGATGGAGAGAAGCTGGAGGAACAAAGAAAACATTATTATAGCTCAGATAATTCCTGTGACTGTAGAGGAAACATCTGAGGTAATCTAACATTTTTAACATGAAGTTTAGCAATATGGTGACATCAGAGTGCACTTCTCTTTCCAACTGGAAGTGAAAGCACAGACTTTCTATGCACACAAGTCCTAACAGTACACAACACCCTGACCGGAAGAGACCTACTTTGTTCCTATCTCCATGGTCCATTCAGTCTTGTTTCCCACTTCGATGGGCTGCGGACAGTTGTCTTCTGGCAGCTAAACTGAGAGCCACTGACTGAATTCATTTATCATAAGCCAGCTGTCAGGCAGGAGCATCCTAGACTAAGTGGAAATAAGCACCTAGAAGTGAGCAACACTGTCTTGTACTATGAGACCCTCAAGCCCTTCAACATCCCCCTGCAGGGCCCTGTGCTTAGCCTCTCTATGAACACAAGTGTGTGGACAGGACTGGGGAGCAGGCAGAAACCGGGAAAAAGAGGATGGCAACAATTATAAGACTTAGAGGCACCTTTTTGCCATAGGAGATCCAACCCCAAATAAGGGCAGATCTTGCCTTTAGACAGGAAAACGACCTTGTTCTGAAACTTGTTCAGTTCTTGACAACTTAACAAGATTTTCTAAAGCAGGTTTGGGTCTCATCATGCTGCAAATACAGAAAATGTATGTTCCACTGGTAGAAGCACGACTGGTTGGGAACTCTCAGTCACATGCTTTAATTTACTGGTATATATGAGAACAGTTTTGAGACCAGAGACTGATGCTTTTTTGGCAGTCTGTGAAGTTATTTAGAAGATATGTGTTGAGCCAGCCTGGACTCCTGTGGTGTAAGAGTAAGAGATGCTGGTGACTCAGAACAGAGTGATTTCCTCTTAACTGAGCTCTGATGCAACATTTTAACAATACAATGAAAAGATGCATTTTGGCAGAGCTGGAAATCCCTCAAATAGCAATGAGCTAAGCCTTCATTAATTTGATACTTCATCAAAGTGTTAATTCCAGATGCTGATTTGGCAAGGGGTCTCATTCCATCCTAACACCTTGTTTGTTAAGGTAAAGGCAAACACATGGTCCTACATCATCTCCTACATCAAGCTGTTGGGGACCAGTGTTGTTGGTGTAAAGCTGTACAGATTCTGAGGAGGGTTACAGCAACCTAACAAGAAATAGCATTTACATTGCATAAACAGCTTCTAACAACAATTTGCTTGGGTAAATATAGGCTCTATAATGACATAAATTCCAAACATTAGCATAACACTCTTGTAGTACCCACACTTACACAGAAGAGAGGCACCTTAAAGGCTGTTCTACATATGGTCAACAAGGTTAAAATCTTGGCTCTGTTAAATTCATAAAAGACTTGACAGTTA